AATAAGCTGGCCTTAAGAGGAGGATTAACTGTCCAATCTCTAAAGAGTTATATAACCCTGAGTTTAAATTCAAGTTTGAGTTTGATCTTGAATTCAAATTCAGGTTTATCCCTTAAAAGCTACATGATATGGACAAGTTATTTAACTTACATGTATTTGCGCAATGCGGAGAACCTTAAGTTTCATGTGAAGCTTAAAATAATTCATAGATTTTCTGTGAGAATTAAGAATTTTAGTGCCTGAAACGTGATTAGAAGAGTGCTTGACACGTAGAAGCACATCAATCAGTGTAGCTGTATTATTGCTATTATTATCATTATTATTTTATTGAATAGTTCAATTCCAGGAACTGTAATAAATAAACTGAAATTTGCAATGACAGAAACCTGGAATCAGATGATCACTTAATAGCTAGGTGGCCCAAAGTTCCTTAACTTTGTGAAATGTCATTGTTTTCCATCAACTTCTATGACTTTCCCATGACCTGCAATTCATTTTTGCTTACTAAGTTCAATCTACACTGGCTTTCTTTCAGTTTCTAAAAAACATCAGTAAGTTTCCAGATCCAAAGAATCACAGTCTTTTGCCTCTTCCAGGAGCACACCTTTGCCCTTACTGGCCTAAACGACTCTACTACTTCAGAGCCCTGCTTGAAAGTTAAATTCCCATAGCCCCAGATATTAAACTATTCTCTTTCATAGGTTTCTATATTTTATAGAACTTACTGAAATTTGCATTGTTTTATTTTTTGTATCTTACCCAAAACAAAAACGTTTTTGAACTTAGCGTTCAGGTCTGTTGATTTTTGTTATATTCACCATTGTGTACCTAATATATAGCACAGGGTCCAGCACATAGAAGGTTTTCTACAAGTAATTGTAGGGTAAGTCAATACATGAATAAGCCAAGCATAGTACCAGGCACTTGAGAGTCATTATATCAACTCTTTAAAGTAACTCCACAATGATGACAGCAAAATAGGTACTAATATCACTGTTACCATAAACATAATCTTGCTCCTTACCCTAAGCAAAAATGAAAAGTGCCAGTAGATCTTGGCACTTCTCAAAGAAAAACTAATTATTTTCGTGTATTAAATGTCAAGGCGAGAGAGTAAAGGAGACTCACCCTAATTATGTAAGGAGACAAAGCTGGCTGCAAATTTTCAGTTTCCACTAAAAAATGAATGATTACTTGGGAAGAAAATAATTGCTTTGGCATTAAGTGCAGCTGTTATTCATGTCACATTATTTATAAGACTGATGTGCATAATATTCCTCCAGTCTTACTATAAAATTAAAATAATTCAGGAACGTATTATCTACAGACACTTATGAGAAGGTGTGTCTACAATTGCTATTGCTGACTCCAATAAGAATAGAATTTTTCTCAGAGATAAAGGCATTTTATGGGAAATAAACAAATAACCTCATCATTGTTACACTGGAATGATGGCAAAGCAATGGTCAAGTTACATGACATGAAAATATCTAATGATTTTAAGTTACTGAGCTTTAGTCACATGATTTTAGGTGAGGATATTGTATAAAGAATTATGAATGGACATTACAACCAGAAAGCATAGTTCAAACTTCAGCATCTGTGTGTCTGCTTTAAAACACGGGGCAGATTATTCACCAAAATAAGCCTCAGCTTCCTCATCAATCAAATGGGGATAATAATAACACTTATTTCATGCACTTCCCTCAAAGTTCATATGCTGAAACCAAATACCCAATGTGATACTATCAGAAAGTAGAGTCTTAAATTAGGTCTTGAGGGCTCTGCCCTCATAAGTTGAAATGTCCCCTTATAAAAGAGACTCTAGCTGGGCATGATGGCTCATGCCTGTAACCTCAGATCCTAAGAGGCAGAGGCCAGAGGATGGCTTAAGCCCAGGAGTTCGAGAACTGCCTGGGCAATATAGTAAGACTCTATTTAAAAAAGAGAGAGAGAGAGATTCCAGAGAGCATGCGAATCCCTTCCACCTTATAAAGACACATCTAGAATGTGCTGGCTATGAACCAGGGAGCAAGCAAGCCCTTACCAGAAACCAAAACTGCCAGCACCTTGATCTTGAACTTCCCATTCTCCAGAATTGTGGGCAATACATGTCTGTCATTTATAAGCCACCCAGTAAATGATATTATATTATGACAGTCTGAATGAGTTAAGACATCCTATGAAATTATCTTAGGGATTAAATGAGATAACGTATATAGCATAGTTTAATGATGGCCACATGAAAAACGTTTAACAAATCATGACGATGATGATGATGATGAAGACATGTAATTTTGTTTTGCATAAAACCATTTAATCTTGTATGAATGAGTGTAAAGGTCTGGTTGTTAACTATGGCTTAATAACTGAATTAGAAGCACCAGTCTATGTTTTAGCATTAAAGAGAGGGGAGAGTATATGCTATTACTTGGTGAGGATGATACAGTACACCATAAAAATGAAAGTACCATGATAACACTAAGAACACCACCTTAGTTCCACCTGATCACAGATAAGCTCTTCCAGGCAGGGATTAAAGCAGAAGCTTAAACTCTTAACTTGCTATGGCTCTGTTTCAGGCAATTGATGTGAGGATGAAATTGAATGGTATTGAGTGACCTCGTAAATAAGATTCCACCATTAGGTCCATTTTACTAATGAGGCAGTTCCCTCATTACTAAACTGACAGGTAGAGCCATTTAGTAGCTTATATAAAAACTTAACAGGCCAATGATGAATCTAAGCCAGGGACATAAGTAAATAGTGGCTTCCTTCTATGATAAAGCCAAGAGGAAATCTTAATTCCTTTTTCTCTTCTGGTAGTAGCTGGTGATGCAAGCAGAGAATATTAGCTTTTAAGTGAGTTCAACACTGTGCTTGCATGAAAAAAAGAGCCTCTGAGTGAACGAGTCTTTTCTGGGTGTCCTATAATGCAGATAGTCAAAATGACCCTGAAAAAGAAGTGTCTGTCCCCATGCCTCATCCATAGCATCTGCCAGACCTCGCTGAACGAGCAGAATCCAGACCTCAGTCTTTCTTCAGTGCTCACATCATTGCCACTCCTGCCTCAGGCCCCTTTAGAAGGTACACTGACTCTGTTTTATTTCCAAAGGAGTTCATTCTCTTTTTTTATGAGGGAAATTTCTTGGAGTAAGGGCTATAATAACAACAGTTGCTGCTGCCACTGCTGCTACTGAGTATTGAGTATCTATCTATGTGTCAGGCACTAAGCTAGCTGCTTTAGATACATTATCTCTCACTCTTAAAACAACCCTGGAAATGGAAATTATTATTCATACTGCATAGAGGTAAAGTACATCGTCCAATGTCACAGAGCTATGAGAATAAGACTGCAGTGTTAACTCAGGCTTGCCTGACTCCAACCCTATGCTTATCCAACTATTCCACAATATAGACAGGTTTATAATTATCCCAGTACTTTCCTTGTTCATTATGATTAGGGCAATTAAAAGCTAATGAATTAGCAAGTCACAGTTAATCATTATTCTGTTAATCTAACAGAATATGGTGCAATATAACTTAAGCATCCTTTTTGATGTGATTGACTTCATAGGTTCTCACACTAATCTTGTATTTCTTATATGTAGCTTCTTCCCCTCCCACCCCACTCCCAGGATCATCTATATATCTATATCTATATATAGATATAGATATAGATATAGATATCCAGATATTGACAATTGAACTTATTTCTGCTTATTATTTTTCTTGTATCAGGGCAGTGGTTAATGAAAACACATTATTCAACCTAAATAAGCTTGAAATAGAGAAGAAAAGTTTTATTTATTTTGGATATTAATCCCTTATTAGGTGAATAATTTGGAAATATTTTCTCACAAACTGTACATTATCTACACATACTGTGCTGGAGCTTATGTCATGAAGCTTTCCCCATATGTATTTTTCTGGCAATTTTTCAGTTTCATTTCTCATATTTAAATCTTTATCTACTTTGCATATTTTATATAGTATAAGATGAATGTCTAATTTCATTTTTCTGCCTGTAAATACTCAGCTTTTCCAATATCATTTATTGTAGAGCATGTCTTTTCCCCATTGTATGTTCATCCCACTTTTGTCAAAAATCTTGATCATTTATACATGGATTTATTTCTGGGTTATTTTTAACAAACCTGTACCCTTGGTTGATTTGTGTGTTTTAATGCCAGTACCATGCTATTTGATTATAAGTGCTCTATGTTCTGAAACCAAGAAGTGTGATGCCTCCAACTTTCTTCTTTTTGCTTTAGCTTGTTTTGAGTATTTGAGGATCTTTTGTGGCTTCATATAAAGTTAAGAAGTTTTTTCATTTCTGTGAAAAATGATATTGAAATTTTTGTAAGGATTGCATTGTACCTGTAGGTTGCTTTGGAGAGTATGAACACTTTTTTACAATATTTATTCTTTCAATATATTAACACAGGATATCTTTCTATTTAAAGGTGTTTTCCCATTTCCTTTCATCAGTGTTGT